AATCGCCTCCAGTGCAATGGAACAAGATACGTCAATGTGTAGCTTGGCTTGCTGGCGTGTGTACATATACCAATGATTTTTTTTTATGTCAACTGGCTTTAACTTCTTTTGTAAAAAAAATAAATTGAAATAAAGCCCGTGTTCCTGCCACTCGACCTAAGCAAAATTAACCGTATTAGAACGGGAAACATTTGGATTAGAGCTGAGGTAGTGGAAATACGACCCTAATGCCAAGGACTTGAGTATGATTTCTAGTGCTTTAAATCATACTCAAGTCCTGACTTGAGCATTGAGTAGAGTTCTGGAATACGACCCATAGACTCTTAAGTAATCTGTGCCGTAACCGCTAAATAATCTCTGCAGTAGAACTTGTGAAAGTGTTCGTCCAGGGAAGTTCTGCCATCTTATCTATTTCTGCCGCCAAGGAGTAATGTGAAATTACAGACACATGAGCTGAAGTCTCAAGGTGATGGACGCAGTGGTAGTGTTCTCAGATTTTTGCGATTTAAAACTCTGAATGGTATACTGCAACTGTTATGGACAGGCGTGTCTCTTACCACTACTGACGACTTGTTCGTCCCGTCATTTGGTGCCTTAAGAAAATCACTTTGGAATTTTTATGACTAATAGAGATTAGTGTTAAACGACGAGGACACGTCATTCGGAAACCAAATAGTGAAAAGGTACAAATCAAAAGCTTTCCTTATTGATAAAAGAAGAAAATATTTAATGTTTACATAGCATTAACTAATGTAACCCTTTCATGTCCTTGCAAGCATGGGCGGCGCGGGCTCTGCCGCCAGAGCGGCCGTAACCCGCAAAAGGATCAATGTTTTTTATAATATGAAGTGACAGGACAGACAAGTCGTGCGCTTGTTTAGTAGCAGTAGAGAAAGAGTTCCTCCAGGCAAGTACTGCCACCTTACCGATTTCTGCCGCCAAACAGTAATGTCAGCATTACAGTGTTCCGGTTTTGGAGGGTGAAATTACAGGCACATGGGACTTGTCAACTCATGTCTCAGGGTGACGGGCGCAGTGGCAGTGCCACTATTATGGACAGGCGAGTAGCTTACCATCAGGTGCACGAATTGTTCGTCCCGTCACTTGGTATTATATAAAGAAAAGCGACACGCCTGTCCATAACAGCTGCATTGCCACTCGGTACTTTAATTCGCAAAAATTTGTCACTGTCATTGCACCCGTCAGTCTAAGATATAAGTTGACAAGTCGCATTGTGTCTGTATTTTCACCAGCACCCTTACAAACACAGTAATGCTGACATTATTGCTTGGCGGCAGAAATAGGTAAGGTAGCAGTACTACCCTGGACGAATTCTTTCACTAGCCTTGATAAGAGCTACAGCTCTATGGCTTTTGCGGTTGAAATCCCGGGTCTCTGGATGCCACAGGCGAAACTTCTAAGCAAAGAGCTGTCAGATCGCACCGTAGAAGCCTCCTGTAACCACAAGCCTGGCAGTTATTTTCGCCAGAAAAATAAGTTTAGCTATTCAAAGGGCAAATGTTACCAGCCCTCATTTTGCAGATGTGGCTTATTGCACTTAGGGTTCGAAACATGTGTCCTCAAAACCTGTGTTGAAAATAATAATTTATGAATGGCGAACAAACAACATTGTGACGTCAATCCTACTTGGTTTTATTTGAAAAAAATTGTAATAAATGAAAACAAAGGTAAATACTAAATCAATTAATTACTTTTATTTATTTTAATAATTTATTATACTTGCGCACATCTTTTGTTTTAGATCAGTTATTCTTAATGGTGACAAAGTTAAGTTTGCAGTTCATTTCAATGTAAAATAGGACGTTAAAAATATTAATTTAAAAAAACTTGACTTAAAAAAGACTCAGGGTTGTATTCCAGAACCCTACTCAATGCTCAAGTCAGGATTTGAGCAGAATGAGTATGATTTCAAGCACTGGAAATACGACCCTAATGACAAGGACTTGAGTATGATTTTCAGTGCTCACTCAAGTCAGGATTTGAGTATGGTTTAAAGCACTCGAAATAATACTCAAGTCCCTGCCATTAGGGTCGTATTTCCAGTGCTTGAAACCATACTCAGATACTGATTTGAGCATTGAGTAAAGTTCTGGAATACGAGGCTTAGAAAGTCACTACATTTTCGTTCCGCTTGCTGTTGAGACGGCGGCGGGTTGTTGGGGTACCGATGCAAAAAAGTTTGTACCGGAAATCGGGCGACGGCTAAGAGAGAGTGGAGATGACTCTCGCGCCGGGTTGTTCTTGGCGCAAAGATTGTCCATTGCCATACAGCGAGGAAATGCGGCAAGCGTGACGGGCACCTTTGCCTCGGGATCAGTCAGGGGCGGGCGTTTTGACGAGTGTGAGCACTGAGACATGTAATTTGTAATTTCTTGATTTATTTAAATGATTTGTTACTCATGACTATACTATGTATTCATAATCTCTGTACAGAGTACTAAAAAAACCGACCTCAAAAGTACGTGAAATTACATCTATTTGCCAAGTTTTATTAAAACATCCCCTAGTTCGCCGTATAGTGGCGTATAGGACTTGACACTGTAGATAGTAAAAATCGGTTCTCAAAAACGCCTTGAATTGGAAAATAGCAAAACCAACCATTAAAATAATTGCTCCTTAAGTAAGATTTAGGCGCTATTTAAAAAAATGAATGTTCATGCGTCATCAGCCTTACCTTACAACAACCTTAGAGGTGGATGATTTTCTTCAAAACGAAATGGGACCACTATGGAGGTACCCTTTTTCCAACAAAAAATAATCATGAAAATCGGTTCACGAATACCGGAGTTATCGCGTAACATACATAAAAAAAACATACTCGTACAGTCGAATTGAGAACCTCCACCTTTTTTGAAGTCGGTTAAAAATAAACTTGACCATTAAAAAATCTTAACCAAAGAATTATAGACGCATTTTATATAATATCAAGTGAACAAGTCGTGCGCCAGGTGTAAGCTATGCACCTGTCCAACAGTTGTAGAACCATTTAGAGCTTTAAATCGCAAAGATCTTAGGGGCTCTGTCACTACCAGAAGCGCATATGTTCATATGACAGTTTTTCTGTAACATCATCATCATGGCGGCCGTTTTATTATCTCATCTTGGATGTAGGCCTCTTCCCTCTTCTTCTACTCTTGGCGATCTTGTGCCCGACCTCCGTGTCGTCGGATATCGTCCATACAGCGCTGCGGTGGTCTGCCGCGCCCTCTGATGTCTGATGTTTTCTGTAACATTATGTCCTTAAAAACAAATGAGCTAGTTGAAGCAGAAAATAACCACTATACTTTGTTTCGTATTTTTCTTCTTGTTATAATAATTATGGTGGTCAAATTTCGTGACATTCAATAAAAAATCTTTAAAAAAATTACAATTATTAAAGCGACATGTCTAGTCAGCTGCTGATAGCTGTAAAGGTGCCTGGCCGAGTGAAGAAAAGCTTTCATACATTTCTCATAGATGGCGCTACGGCAAAAAGTCGTAACGTGTAGGTACCGTTTAGGTTCTCGGGTTTCTCTCAGGACTGGTATCATGACTGGGCATTTACTCAAATATTTTGTATGCTCGTAAAAATATACATAATTTCATTAAGAAAGAAGGTACCCATAATATTAACCTTAGAACTAAGTCCAAACTCAAAGTTTAACTAAGGTAGACGATTCTTTTATGGGGAACAGTACCTATACGTTTTTACAATAATTCGATTTACGATTCTGGAGAATATATTAAGGGTCGTATTCTAGAACTCTACTCAATGCTCAAGTCAGGATTTGAGTATGGTTTAAAGCACTCGAAATCATACTCAATTCCCTGCCATTAGGGTCGTATTTCCAGTGCAATCCTGACTTGAGCATTGAGTAGAGTTCTAGAATACGACCCTAAGATTATCATTTCCTAAGTTTAAAACTTACATTAAAAGTATTTTAATTGAAAAGTCATATTATAAAATTGAGAGTATGTTTTAGATAAACAAATATGGAAAGACAACGAGAGTCTAGATTCCACACAATTATGATCCAAAGTGTATTCCATAGCATTTAAGTTTATTTGAAAAGAGCAATCCCTAGAGTTTCTTGCTCGTTCTTCTCAGGGAGGTCAGAGTAGTGAACGAGCAGTAGCTTAAATGTGACGTTTTCAAGTGTAAATTTATTTTACCTGTGGAATAAATCATTATTTGACTTCGACTAAAAACTAAAAACAAAAATCTGCAATAAGCATATAGAAAAAATCGCAAAGTCCGCTAGTTCTTACTGTGGCTTAATTGGCATAGCGTCTGCCACGGTTCGTTGGAGGACGTTGCTTCGAATCCAGCCGGATCGACGGAACTTTTTTCTAAATGATCGATCTTTATTCCAAATTTTCTAATGCACTTACTAAATTAAATATATAGCAAATGCTTATGTTGTGTTTTGATTCTGGCTACTACAGTAACTTTATAAATATGTATGTATTTAAAGATTGTAAGGGTATATACATAAATAATGTATAATAAGTATACAAGTTATGATAATTTTTGTTACATCAGTATACCTTTCGGTGATTGGTACTCTACTTAATACTATCACTTTTTTACATTAAAGTTTAAGGGCGACCTTGATTTGTGTTTTTGGGCTCGCCTGTAAAATTTTGTCTAAGCACTTGCTGGGTTTTGTTATGCGGCAGCCATCACAAACTGTCCAGCGGGAGACAGAAAAGAACTTCGGGTCTCAAGAAGTCTTCTTTTTTTAACCTTTCCGCTTATATTTAAGTAAATAGGTACCTCATTTGTTATTATAGAAAAGCATAACATAACCTTGCAAAAATTAACGGCGTCAATTAACATTTGAACAGTTGTTCAAATAAAACGGTTAAGTTTGTTTGAACAAAAATTTTATTGGTTTCTAGAACTAATTAATTATTCTGTTTTGTTTATATATTGTTTGCAAGTTCGTATTAAAATTACAGTTGTGTTATAAGACTCGCAGACGAAGGAAGTAAAGAAAACAATACTGTCAAAAATGCTGTTAAAATTGATAATATTTTCGGCCTTAGCAGCTGCCGCAACTTCGAGCCCAAGTGGTAAGAACAGTGTAAACAATCAATTCACAAAAAACCTTTCTTTCAACAAATTTAAATTAAGATGTGGTTAATCAGATTCTACTAAAGTAAACCATACAGTAAATTGTATTTTGTAGATACTTAATAACATTAAAGATCATGTCTCCAGCAGTGGCACTCATCATATATTGGCAGACTACATAATGAATTTTCTTTATTACCAACTTTTATCGAAATCTATTCAGAAATTTTTGATTTTGCATGCATTATGGCATGATTTTTTCCGACATCTTCAACATTTATCGTCATTTTTCAACCAAATTACACAGAACCTAAATAAATTATACACTTAAACCTTCCCCATGAATCACTCTGTCTATTGGTGGAAACCGCATGAAAAATCTGTTCAGTAGTTTTTGAGTTTATCGCGATCCGACAGGCAAACAGTCGCGGTAGTGATAATATGTAGTGATGTAGATTATACATTACATTATACATATGTAACATATCTATATTTTATACATAAAATGTACGAAACTGATTTAGGAAGATTGTTACACGATGCGGTGCAGTGCGGCCCGCCATAATGTGCGTGAGCCTTTAGAATATTTAGGTATATTGAATTATTTCTATTATCATCGCCCTACTGGGCCTTAGGGCAAATCCGCCACTGGTTTCCAGGACACTTCTTTCTCCAGTCCCTTTGTCCCAGCTAGATCGGTATCTACTGGTGCGGTTATTTAAAAAAAAATAATATATTAACCATAACTACGACACTTTAAACGGCTCGACATAATGGTAACCTACCTTACTATTAAATAAAAACTAATATCGTAAATAACAAGTTCTGTTCTATGTCTTTTGACAAATCATCAGATTGTACTTTAGTACAAAAATAGAAATATTTAAATAGATCGCTTTAAACGGAGACATCTCTATGGGGTAACAAAATAAAGTACTAGCGAAGTACCAGTTCGATGCAAAACGCAGGAGCTTTATGTAAACAAATTTACACTTACCACAGGTGCGCAACGCCTATTAAATAAAAAAAAACATAGACCTATTTATGCTAGCGTAGTATGGGAACGAGCGGAAGCTCCCTAAGCCAAAACAAATGAAATGTGTTGTGCAATGTGCAACTAATAGCGACTTGGCCTAGGGCGTTTTCTTAATTCCTTAACTAAGATAAATGTCACCGGTAAACACTCATTATATCTGCCTGCCCAGGTCATTTCTAACAGGTATGAACTGTCGCGTCTTTCCGCGGTCAGTGATATTATTTGACAAAATTCTAATAGTTACAGCATCGACCAATAACTCAAAGGACTGTTAATCTCCATACTCGTAATAAATACATCGTAACTCTGAGAAAAGTCAAAATTTCGTCTTGAGTCTAGATGGCGCTTATTAATAACCTGGAAGTAGTTTATATGGCTATGGATATCAATTAATTTCTCTTTAATATGAAATATAGATCATGAGCTATAATTATTTTCTGAACTTTGACAAATATGCGCGCCAATAGATGGCATTACAAACTAATTTATAAAGTAACGCTTGCTAATACAAAAGAATAGCCGGCACTATCCATGAAAATCTGTGCAATAAGCGCCATCTAGTTGACTTGTTTGTTATCAATCAAAATTAGAGTAGCTTTGATAAATTGTAGCTCGTCAAAACAAATTAGTTATAAAAATAGCTAATTAGTGCTCTTTGCGACATCTGGTGTGCCACCTCTTGAGTTATAGGTCCCTGGTAAGTAATAGTATTTTGTTTGGAACATATACATGGTTTTTGTAAATGTTTTTGTCTATATTTTTTCTAGCGCCAGCAAAAAGTGCACTTATTCGCCCCTGCCGTCTTAATGATTACCGGTGCATAGGTGACAACCTCGCGGCCAATTCCAAATGCTACAAAAAGGTAATTTTGATTATTTACTAAGTTTATTAATTATTATATAACAAACGTAATTTATAACTGATTTGTGTCAGATAGGCACAAAGGTGGGTGAAGCGCCTAACGTCGGGTTAAAATATTTAAAACCCCAAAAACTATTTTCATTTAAACATTTGAAATTTGAGAAATAAATACAAAAAATGATTAGATCGTATGCATTTGAATTGATTTTCATAAAGACTCGTATCGTAATGTGCATCCTTTTGTAGTGAGAATTCACAGGATTGCAAGGTAGGTATTGCTTTCCATGCCGTTTTTCGTCTAAAAAAGATATTTTACATGGAAATTTAATTTCATTTTTTCATATTCATTCATACCGAAACTAAGTAAATAATTTTACATAAGTAATTATGTCGTCCTTTCCTATAACTAATTTTTAGTAGCAGTAGAGCTCTATGTGAAAGAGTCCATCCAGGATAGTGCTGCACGTTACCTATTTCTGCTGCCAAGCAGTAATGGCAGCATTACTGTGTTCCGGTTTTGAAGGTGAAATTACAGGCACATGGGACTTGTCAACTTAGGTCTCAAGGTGACTGGGGCAGTGGCAGTGTACCTCAGATCTTAGGTGGCACTACAACATGGACATGCGTGTCGCTTACCACCAGGCGCACGACTTGGTCGTCCCGTCACGTGGCATTATAAAGAAAATAAAACAGTTTAGCACACAGGTTCCCAAACTCTGTCCCACCACCCACTTAGGCAAGTTAAAAAAATTGTAACGTCTACCACTACAAAAAAAATGAAAACACGTACTTTCTATATTAACAGAAAAAATAAAAAGAAAAAATAATTTTAGAAGTATATGTACTGTAGTTTATATGTATAGATAGTCGAGTTTTTTTTCCAAATGCGATAGATAGCACCCCGTGGACTGCATCAATTCCCCTCAATTGCTTCCGAGGTCCCGAGTTGGTGCAGAAAGTGTTAAGATTATTTTAGGTTGAAACACGAATTAGAAAACATTGAGATTGGAAATCGTTATAATCTGTGTATATTGAAATACTTATTAATAGTTGCCATAGTGATGGCGGGTGGCTGAGGGTCTAGAGATGCGCTCAAGAGAAAGGTTCTCAAATGGAGACCACGAACCGGAAGGCGTTCAGTGGGACGGCCCCCTACCAGGTGCACGGATGACCTGGTAAGGGCGGCGGGTAACCGATGGTTGCACGTCGCGTCCGAGCGGCTAGTCTGACAATCTTTGGGGGAGACCTATGTTCAGCAGTGGACGTCTTCCGGCCTTAAATGCCGATTTATGGGGCACTCACTTCTTAACATGATAGTCTTCAGGAGGTCGTTATATAACGACGAGGTTACCTATCAGTAGCGCGAAATGACATTTTCCTCCCTCGAAACCTCGAAAGTAATTTTGAAAGGAAAATGTTTTTTCTTTTAAACCTAACCGAATCTAATCGTGGCTTTGCGATAAACATTCAATATATCCTGAAAGAACAAATGTTTCGTTATAATTCCGTTTTCGGTGTAATGAAAATTCGAACAAACGTTATTATAATTAAGATTTATGTATTATTGTAATTTATTGTTATTGAACAAAATATGTTGACTAACCGTTATGCTATAATCACCAATTTAGATACCTAAGACACAAGTAAACAATTTTACTTAGTTTAGGTATCAACTAGATTAATTTGCACTACTAACCTTAAAACTGCCTCCGTGGCCGAACGGTTACCATGCCGGACTGCCACGCAGAGGTCCCAGGTTCGATTCCCGGGCCGGGAGAAATACTTGTATGGCCTACATTTATTTCTCTCGTGAGTTTGGGTGTAATTTGTGGTTGTCTATGTGTGTGTCCATGGCACCCGCGACACAGGGTTTCCCTAGTGCGGGGCTATGTTGATTGTGAGCGTTATTGTGAGCGTTATTATTAATTAAAGTAATGTAAACATAAAATAATTTCAATTTTTGCGACAATTTGGCGCATATATGTAAACAATAGGTTATTTAATAAGATTTATGTATGTATTTAGGTTAATATTTTATACAGAAATAAATTTATCTTTATCTTTATCTTATCTCTTTATTTCGGACAAAAACATTTTCGACTTTGTGATAGGTTACCAAAACGACGATTGTTCGGCTTAATATAGGGTAGAGTTGGGTCTTTAATAAAGCCGAATCCAATAATTTGTCTTTCTTTCCTCTTGTGGTGATTGCAGGTTGCGGGTTCGATTCAATCGAGATACGTACTAAGGGACTTCCGTTTCGAGGCACCGTATTTCAATAGCAGCTACGTCGAAGACACAGTCGTTGTGAAGAATCATAACTTGTGCTACGTTTCCGAGTTCTTGTCAGTATTTTTTTAATCTCTTTCTTTTCTTGTATTAATAACAATAAAACAGCATTGCTATTATATTAATTATTATTTCACCTCACTAGCTCGGAAGGGCTTTCTTAAAAATCTGCTCGCAAAAGCGCTAGAGTGGAAAAGGTTTTTGAAATTCGAACTTACTGTGGTGCACCAAGATTTTTCTTACGATGTAAAAAAAAACATAATGATACCTTTAACTATGCGATTTGTCGTATTATTTGTGTAATATACATCCGTTGATACATTTTATTCTTATTATTGTTGATATTAAATTGATAACGATTACTAATTTTGCTTATTAAAACTGTTTTGTTATATAATTTTTTATTGAATTGACATTCAATTGGTTTTTATGTGTAATTTCTCCACTAGTTTGTTAGATCGAACAATCAGAAAAAACCGTGCCAGACGCTATACCAACTAAGCCACGGAACGAACCAGCGGACCTCACGAATTATCGTCTTATCTTTGTATTTGGTATTTCAATGACTTTCTAGTCGTAGCGCCATCTATGAGAAATCGATGATATCTCGTCACCCAGTTAGATACGTTTACAGCTATCGTTAATCATTGTATTTTAAATTTTTTTATGTGAAATTACTCCACTAGTTTGTTATAATAATTAATACAAAGATTTTATGTGCTTAATTGCAGCGTTAATCAGAAAGCGGACACCATGGTTCTCTCCGTGGACTGCCCTTACTTCGTCATCGAGACTAACTCCACTGTTATCCGGCATAATTCGCTAATGGAAGACCAAACCTACAGATTCTACAACAAAGCAACTTACCGTAAGTTATTGACAGTTATTGAACACCCGTCAAAAGTAGAACTCGCGTATTATACGATTACAAACACTATTTAAATTTTAGTTCAGTTCATTTTAATAGCCGTTGAGATCCTTGTAAAAGAGTTCGTTCAAGGAATTACTGCCACAGAACAATTCAAATTCAAATTCAAATTCAAAATTGTTTATTAAAGACTACATAGGCGCATGGTGTTAGTACATTACCAGAAAACCCTACAAATATGTTAGTAATAATTTTACATAATAATAATAATACAATCAAAATTAATTACTAAAATACACAAGTTTAGGGTTTATAACAGCCGACATCCAATGTCTCTGTAAGGCACTGTCCGGTCTATCGGCTAATATCCTAAGTATGCTTTTGGGGCTCTCCAGCATTTTGTGTCTCATTGAATCAATTTTTTTGCGCATTACTGCATAAAACAGTCAGTGTGAGCATCCGCAGACATACCAGATGCACTGCAGTACCTAGGCAACCCCAACACCATCCTAAACATGTCGTTATAAAGGACGCGTAGCTCGATGAAGATCTTTTGGGTATACGTAGCCCACAGGCCGCTACAGTAAACAATAAATACAGTAGAAGTGGTTAGTTAGCGTCTGACACGTACCAACTATAGATCTCGAAAGACATTTGAGTTCAGTCCTCCATTTTCGCTTTGTATGGTATAGTTGTGTCATTCCTTCGCGCAAATACTCTAAAATCGCAGAAAAATGCCTTATTGGAGTGCAAAAATGACAGCTGCACCAAAAATATATAGTCTCAATTTTGAGAAATTTAAAATTTTTCTGATTACTTACGCAGATGTTAATCTTTCGTCGTAGTCCAGCTACTGGCCGCAAGATGGCAGCATCTTAAATAAAATGCGTGAGAAAATTTTTTATTTGCCGCCATTTCGCCAGCCGTCACATGCGGTTCCTGAACATATCACAGAGAGCTTATAATATGTTTCTTGTCATCCACATTCGTATTGTTATGCCTTTCATTATGTAACAGTCATATAAACTACTATAATTACAGGTTTAAATACTTTATTTCAATGAATTAAGAAAAACAAAACTTACAGCTTTAACGTCGTACACTCCAACCATTCACTCCTCAAAATATCTTCCAGTCGTTCTACCCGCTCGTTTACATCAATCACTCGTTCACAGCGTTACCATGTATTCCCATATACATACACTACAATGAATGCTACCATGATGCTTTATGCTGTATCTCACCCCCAAGAACAGAAACTGCACGCAGGGGCACACATAGTAGGATGTGACAGCATATCCTGATAGGAAATACTTGAAAGATCTGTAGATTCCAACTCGAATACACTAGTATATACTGTAATATACTAGTAAGGATGAAATCATTATAATAATTAGGTCTTAAAAACTAACCACGCACCTATTACTTTTCGATTTTAAGAACACTCGTTATGTAACTATTGCATAAAATACAATTTTTAAACATTTTGTGGAATAAATTTTGTGTTCTCTTCCAGCTCTAATTCGTCTGACTGCGAACCTGAAACACGCTGACAAACTCGACATCTGCTCAGCATTCGTTTTCACTGATGTGGCCACGTTGCCCATCATCGACGTGGCCCCACTAGGTAAGATATACAAAAGAGTACTGGTCAATTTCGACATTAGTGGTTTTACAAGATCATACCACAGATCGTAATTCTGGAAAAGGTCAAAATCCCGTCTTATATGTAGATGGCGCTGATCGGTAGCCTGGAAGTAGTTTATATTACGTTAATTGCCCGCGGATATCAATTAATTCATCTTAAATATGAAATACAAGTAGTCAGTTTTTTCTGAAGTATGCGTATCGATAGATGGCGTTGTGTGTTAAAAACTAATTATAAATTAACGCTTCGTAATATGGGTAGATGGCGTTAATTCCTAACGAAATAAAAGAATAGTCGGCACTATAACAAAAATCTGTGGAACAAGCGCCATCTAGTTGTTATGTTTGTTATCACTAGGAATTACAGGAGCTTTGATAAATTACACGCTCTTTAATGTAAAACAAATTAGTTACAAAAATAGCTATTTGGTACTCATCACGACATGTGGACCTATAAGTACTAAATACCCGACTACGCTTTCTTGTTAGCGATTAGCAGACGTCTTGAGTTTATTGGGTCCATGGTTTTTGTAATCAAACTTGGTACTATGGCCAGATCACAAGAAGAAATTTCTTGTAATGTGTAATATTTTTTTTCGATTTATGGAACGGGGTGTCAAAGTTAGTTACCCCTAGATGTGAATGTTGTTATTAAAGAGCAAATAGCAACTATACGCGCCGATTTATATGGGATAGCTCGCTAAACGGGCGAGTCCTAGCGACCTCGGGCCGACGACGCGTGTGGCGGCGCGTATTCAGATTGGTATAGAGAGCGGATCCGAACAGGCTGCCATAGGCACGCTCGGGCGCGGGCCGCGTAACGGTCCACGGGCCGTGGGAAACCGTCTTTAGAATGGAAGTGACCCAAAAAAAACACAGTTCGTTATTTTGGGTCGATAATGCACTTAGGTTTTAACAATCCTTTCACTCTGTATTTTATCTACTTCGGCATGCTATGATGGTCGTTTTGACAGATTACAATAGTGAGGTCAAATCTCGTTTCATTCATTTATTATCGAAAAAATTATAATCAAATGCGAGTCACATCGTGTAGTGTCAATTCGAAACTGCTTTGTTTTGCATTGAGCTTTGACACGAGTTTGCCGGAGGTAAAAGTTGTGCTGGACAGCGATCCTATAAGTGACGATCGTATTTAATTTAAATTTTTGAAATTTCCAATTTCGAAAAACAAATGCCTAGTTGTGTCGTAAAATTATACTCGCCGTTGATGTTGATGCTAAGTCCTGTTGATATCACATCTCCCTGTCTCACGCCTCGTTGCAGTTGGATAGGATCAGAGCTGTGATCCTATAACCGGAGTGACATAGTGGCGTTTTTGTATAAGTACCTTAACACCTCGATATACCTGTAGTCTACTTGGCACCTTTGGAGAGACTGTAGCACCACCCAGATCTCGATCGAATCAAAGGCCTTCTCATAGTCCACAAACGCTAAGCAACGTGGCCGGTTATGCTGCTCGGTCTTCTATATAACCTGCCGCAGTATATGGATGTGGTCTATGGTACTAAAATCCTTTCGGAAACCGGCTTGTTCGGGAGGTTGGAAGTCGTCAAATCTACGAGCGAGACGATTCGTGATAACTCTCGAAAACAATTTAAAGATATGGTTCAGAAGCGAGATTGACCGATAGTTCTTCAAGAGTATTTTGTAACCCGTAACCCTTTTCGAAGAACAGGACGACCTCGCTTCAGCCCCATGCCTTCAGCGTTTGACCTTCGACGATAACAGATTTGAAAAGCTTTTGGAGGACATTAAGTATCGGCTTGCCGCCCGCTCTCAGAAGTTCTGTAGTGATTCCATCATCGCCCGCCGCTTTATTGTTCTTGAGTTGTTTGAGAGCCACACTAATCTCATACAGGCTGACGTCCGGGATATCTTCGGTATAATGTCAGGTAAGCTTGGCTCTATGGTCTTTAGCCTCGCTTTCAACAGGTGCTTTCGTGGAGTATAGCTGTCGATAGAAACTCTTTATATTTCTCAGGATTTCAAGCTCAGATGAAATGATGCTACCGTCATCAGCTTTCAGCTTCGTCAATTGGTTTTGCCCAATAGACAGATCTCTCGCGAACACTTTGGAGCCTTTGTTCCGCTCAATGGCCTCTTTAATACGCTCTGTATAAAAAATTGACGTATGTCGCTAGTCAAAAACTTTAATATCTGCCTATTTAGGCTCATCCATTCATGCTTGCATCCTCTGAGTTCTGTAGCCTCATTTCATGTCTCTGTTCCATGACTTGGAGTATTTTGTCGGAGAATTTCTTCATTCCGGTACGGTGGGTTTTGAAAAACTTCGACCCAAAAGTACGGACAGTATCCATCACCATGTTGTTTAGATCGTCCACATCTACGCTGTTTTCGAGGGCTTCGAAGCGGTTTTGAAGTTCGAGTTGCCATAATCGCCACGCTTGGCAGGCGGGTTGGCGATCGCAGTTCTGGCCAAGATGGGTAGAAGACGCTGCTGACTTGTCTTCTTCTGGCAATTTTCCTTTAGTCGCCTTTTACGACACCCATAGGGTGGTACTATTCTAGGCCGGCACCACACGGCGTTTTATATGTAATACGCTGCGTTGTATTACATATAAATTAGAACTAGAGATGCGCCGAGTACTCGTTTGCTATTCGGTACTCGTTGTACTCGGCCTTTTTTTTACTACTCGTACTCGGCCGAATAACTCGGTTCATGAGAAGAGTACTCGGTTAAAATGAAGCATTACTGCTATAGACATAATAAACTAAAACCAACAATATATTTAAAATAATCAAAAGAGATTTATTATTACAAATTCTAGACAATTGTAACAATTTAGTAATTTAAAAAGAAAGTTTTCAATTATTTATATTTAAAATTTAACAAAGGCAAGTTATGATGTAGAAATACAATGCTTTCTGCGCGTTCAGGTAATGGTCTGTTCCTTTTTTCTTCATACACATTACCCACTTCGGAAAATAACCGCTCGCTATACACAGTGCTTGCAGGTGCATATAAAACCACTCGTGCCAATTGTGCCAGTTTTGGATATCTTGTTTTATGCCCTGCCCACCATTGGGAAGGACTCTGCTCTCGCGACAATAAACTATTGACATATTGACATATATACATTATAAACTATTGACTATTGACATATAGATTGATTTCATTGACATATTGGTCTAATTCTAGACTAGAGCAATGGGATTAGGATCATCGCGTTCCGGTTGTAATAATCGAGTAACTCAGCCGAGTATTCGGCTCGGCAAATGTTAAACCGAATAATATTCAGTACTCGGTTACTCGGTAAAACTTGTACTCGGCGCATCTCTAATTAGAAATATATTATGCTACATTGTCCGTTGACACAGCGCGTGGCTCGTGTGGCACTCGGTGCGTTGAAATAAATTGCGACGACGCACGCAACGCACCGGCAGCGCTCGTATGGCATCGTTCTTACCGTACCAAGTTTGATGACCCCCAAACAAACATGCAATATCCTGAATACGGGATGGATTTGTATCGTTTTTGTTTTGTTTTCAGATACGCCAACCGCCAACTTCCTCTCCACAGATCTTACACTCCTCAATATCTTCGAAAGGGAGGCCTTCCTCTATAGAGGGTTCCCGATGTTCCGGTATTTCGTTAATTCTTACATTTGCAACTTCGGTTGCAACTCATAATTAACAACAAGAATAGGTATAAGGGAAAATAAGGTTGCTATTGAACAACCATTGACTATCGTACATGTTGGCCGACGATAACACGCAATTGAGCCAACACTGTAAAGTGAATGGCTCGCTTTTATAAAACATCTCCTGTATTTTTTTCCTTAACATGTAATACTTCAGATTTGTAATCATAATTTTTTGTGATAATATAAAAATTTGATTGAATTTGTGTTTTATTTCTGTGGTTCAAGATAGAAAGAAAAGAAAGAAACATTTATTCGATTATTAACAAATAATATTACAACATAACAACTAACACAAGATCTGTCAAAAAAACAAATAAAGAAGATAACTAATAGATTAAAAAACTAAGTACACAGTTTTATCCGAAAAGGTTAGGCAGCTTAGCTTTATGCTGGACAGAGATATTAATATAAATTTCTGACGCCATAGGCGCGGAGGACTCACATCGCAGGGGCTTCAATCTAGCGAGCGCGAAGTTCACCCACGTCTTCTCTCAGAGAGACGAGACGAGCAGGTAAAATTCGCATCAATTTCGTCAAGGAAATACCAGTTGTGTGGGATGTCTATCTTGTTAAAACCAAATGTCCCTAACATTGACCTACCGAAAATCAGTCTCTTCATTCAGTTCTTTCAACTGAGACTCAAAAAATATTTACAGCAAAAAATAACGTTCAGTTGTGACAAAATGGCCTTTAGCTACAGTAACAAGATTATTTGAAGATTTTTAAACATCGTCCCTCACACTGTACTTCTACTACTACTTCTTCTACCTTAAGGCCCGAGTTACTGAGCTATACCGCTTGTGATGTATCGAACCGTGGCCGAAAACTTTAAAAACCGACTACAACAAAGAGTAGACTAATACAGGAATGACTAGTCTGTCTTTTTTGATGACGGTGTAAAATGATCTAAGCAGGATTGCCAGTTTTCATACAATACATCAGTATATTGCTGCTGAAGGCCTCCATCTTATTGAGATCGTAAAAAATGTACATTATTTTTTATAAGTATAACATCTCTCGTTTCTTTAAATTGTTTCACAAAACTCGGGCGTACATTCCGTTAGACAGCTATGTAAATTGTGCTTAACTCACAAGTCTGGGCAGCCTTGCCCTTCAAGAGTTCATTTTTCTATCGTACTAAAATTACTGTTCTGCGTTGTCATTTTAATTTCAAAGTCAAAGCAAAGAATCATTTATTCCATAGGTAAAATAAATATACACTTGAAAAGTCACATGTAAGATTACACTTTGAATCAAATTTCTGTGGTATCTAAAGCCATGTCGTCTTTCCATACATCTTTATCTAATTCGTAGTCTTCAATTTTGTAATATGACTTTTCAATCGAAATATTTTCAATGTAGTTTTTAAACTTAAGGAATGATAATCTTAAACATATACAGTACCCCATAAAAAAAGAGACGTTTACCTTGGTTAAACGAAATTGTGGTACCATTTGTGTGACTTTGGATTTAGCTCTAGAATTAATATTATGGACATCTTCTTTCTTATTGAAACTATGTATATTTTTACGGGCCTATAAAATAATTGAGTAAATGTACTGTGATGTCACAGTCATGATGCCAGTCTCCATAAACTTGTCTCTGAGAGAAACCCGACAACCTAAACGGTACACAGAACGAATCGCTCGTTTTTGCAATACAAATATGGTTTGAATGTCAGCCGCTTTACCCCACATGAGAGTCCCGTAGGACATTATACTACGGAAATAACTAAAGTAAACTGGTCTAGCAGTAATAACATCGGTAAGCTCACGTATTCTGCGGACTGCGTATGCAGCGGAGCGGAAGATATTTAATATATATATAATTTATTAATAAAAATATTATAGATAATTTTATGTAATATTAAAGAACATGTTTTCATTCCCAAGAACGTTGCGCCATGTGGTGGTAACATAGGTTGGTAAACGAAAGAAAAACAGTAAATTTAAAACATTTTTTAATTTTTATATAAAAACATCACAATCCGGAACACTATGCGTAAGGACATTTTCTGAGGCAAAGCTAAATACTGCCATTCTCTGATCAACATGTCGCCAAAAAGATATTGAGATTTACATCAAAAGCACGAGATTATCCTAAAGTTAGCAGCCAACAGCGTTTATAGCAATATATTATTAATAATTCATGTACTATTCCCAGAAGAACCAAATTAGATAAGTAAAAAAAAATGTTTTAACTGTTACGTGGTTTGGATCTTGTGGGTATCACTAGAACTATGTAACTAGACTTGGCTTTTCATGCATTTAACAACGCTTTAACATGTCACGAAGTTTTTACATAAAATATTTTTCTTCTAATAAAAATACAGCTTTTTTTTAATCTTTCAAACTATGTTACACGACATGTTGAACAGCGGATGGCGCGCTTTACAGTAACAAGTTCTAAACAGTATTTCTTCATAAGAATTTACTATTAAATGGATTTATTTTGTAGTTGGGTGTCGATTATGTTGAATACTAAATTTAATTTCACTCGTATAAAATAATTGACATTTTCTTATTAGTTTTAATATACAATAGTCTAGTTTTGAAAATGCAGAATTAGTATACGCTAACAAGTTACTTTTAGACCTAGAAATGGTGCCACTAGCATTAAATTATATTATAAGAGTTTGTGCAATTAGTTCTATAACATTCCGCAAGGTGGCGACTGTTCAAAATGTACCATTGTTAGTTTTACACAAGAAAATTTAGTTTAGTAAAACAGAATCGACACTGTCAAGAAGGAAATTACAGGTCTAAGTATTTTAACAATGAAATTTCCGTGAATTGTTACAATATCGTATATGAAAAAATATCGACTATCTTAAACAATATGGCTGGCATTGACTATTTTTAATACAACATCATTCATAAAAACTTTAGCAATGCAATAAGTTATATGTAGAGAAAAAAAATTACCAGTGTTTTTAAAATAAGAAATACGACTTACGATGATTTTGGGTCGATAATTTAAAATGATAACTTTCCGAAAAATTTCAAAGGGCGGTAATTTTTCAGGAAAAACTGGAAAAATTGATAAAAATTGGATAAATGTAATTCCAAAGCTTATATGTACTTCGATTTGTAGTTTTCTTTAGAGTTAATTATAAAATAAAATGTTATAGACAAAAGCAAGTTAAGCGAAAAAAGAAAACCATACGTAAAAAAATCTCTATAAAGGCTCCATGTTTTTCGATCAATATTTTCAGGTGTCAACTGTCAAATGTGGAAATATACAAGAAAAATATTCGGAAAAAAAGAAATGATTTTTTTTATGGAAGTTTTCATGATACTAGTTATATGAACTACTGGACGGGTATATCTTATGGTAAGGTAATAACAATATATAAAATACATTTGTTTAAACCCGTACGCAGAAATAGGGAGTAGAAGTTTAAAGAAACATTAAAAAATAAAAATAAATCTTTAGCGACCCAACTTACGTGAACTAAATTAATTTTAGAATATTATTTTACGGAATATCATGTTTTCACTACATCCTTACACATTCATTTTTTTTGTGAAACGTCCACAATTTTTTATATTATAATACACAGATCTGTAATGGGCACAAATAGAAATAAATGGCGCCAGCTAGCTGGTTACCGTATTCGCGGCACCCTCTAGTTCGTAGCTGGAAATCAGCGTTAGCTCCTGAGTAAACACAAAGGCTGAGCTATGCTTTTTACCATAGCACACATTATAATGTACAACAAAATCGGAAAAAAGGCATAAACTGAAGTTCTACACGTTAGAGGTTGCGAAGAAGAAGAATTGACACTAGCGTAGAGTCGTAGTGGATGGCACAAGGTACGCGTATAGTCAATTACCGAATGAATCGCTGTGGATGATGATCCGAGATGATTTTCGTACGGTAATTTTTCTTCTCTGCACAATGCGACATTGACATCGTAACAATTATTTAGCGTTTCAACTACGTTATGCATTAAAATATAACATCGTTTTTAATTAAAAATAAGTAGAAATACAAATATTAATTTTACTCACAAAATAATATTAAAACTCCATATACGTATAGTTAACTAAATATAATTAAAATTAGTAAAATTATAATTATGAGACTTGATTCTGTACAATACATTTTAGAAAATAATTTTGGGGATGTAGAAATATAAAGGAATATTATGTTCCTTTTGTAAAGAATAGGAAATTCCAATTACGAAATTAAATTTAATATACGCACGACAGAATCGTCTCCATAAACTACAAAAGCAGATCAAAATAACATTTCCAATAGATAATGTAAAGATTCAAAGATTCGTTTAGTGATTTTTTAAACATTTCTAATTTTACTAACTAGCATTCCCTCCATATTAGTGGCGGCTCTAGGTTATATTTTTGTACTTTTTATGATTAAAAATATTGTAGAACGTTAAAAAAGGTTAAGTTAGGTAAGTATAGATCCCCCCCGAAGGGGTTCCCGCCTTGTCGTGGCGGGGGGGCTCTAGTAGCCGTGGTCGATTTCATCCCACGGTGAAGCTAAGAGGAACCCACGGGGCCGGCCGATGGTGGAAGGCTGGCCCGAGGAGGAGGGCGTTCCGCGCGGGGCCCGTTTGGCCAGCGGGACCGCGCGGATGCGCGAGGAGGAGGGTCGCGGGGGGAGAGACGTGTCGGTGTGTCGTTGCCGCTCGTCCTGTCCTCCGCGACCCTGGCGGGGCTGCACCACTTTTAATGATGCAGTGGCGGCGGGGCCGCGGGGGAAGAGACGTGTCGGTGTGTCGTTGCCGCTCGTCCTATCCTCCGCGGCCGAACGTGGGCGGTTGCCCGTGGTGGGCGCTCCAAGGGACTCTCTTCGGAGAGTCCGCGCGGAAGCGCGTTAGGTGTTGCGGCGGAGCCTGTCATCAGATCCGCCGCGGGGGCTGGGAGAGCAACCACTGAACTTCACAGTTGAGTGGATGCTGTCCTGGCCCCCCATGGCCCCTGGGTAGCGGACTCGGGGGAGTTCGTTGCCCAGCATAAAGGGGCCCGGGATGGAAGGCTCGTCTGGTGTTCGGCGAGCCTCACATTCGGAGTCGGGGGACCGATGTGTCTCCCTTCTCGAGGAGGGGCTGCGCAGGGCGCGGCCAGCCGCTGGTGGGGGCGCGGACGAGTGCAACAGCGTACCCGTACCCCCACCTACAGCGGAGGGGAGGAAC